AAAATTTCAGCCCTGTAGCTTTTGTAGGTCTTGAGATGAAAAATCGTGACAGACGCACACACGGACGCACACACACACAAACACACACATATATACACACAGACAAACCCTCGTGAATACGCGTTTTCTGCATGGCACAGCTGCAAAAAACGCATAAAAAAAAACCATACGATCAAAAAAAGATGCTTTGCGAGCAGCCATTTACAAAAAAAAAAGATTATTTTGTAAAGAAAATGCACGACAATTTTTCACGGAGCAGCTGGAAAAGAAATCCTATTTTACCTCGGCAAGGATCATGCTTGTGTAGAAATTCTTCCAGAGCAACCCAACCACCGCCAACGCGTACCATAACCGTTGAACGAAGAATACGAACCATACGCTTGATCTGAGTCTCTCCAAACTAAAATTGGACTTTACACAATCCTAGAAATGAAAAAAAAAAAATTCAGTTAACGCCTAATGGTGGACTGAGTACGGTTGTTATTTGTCTATCGTCAAAAGTTGAAAATTATCTGCCTCGTATTCACTCTTACTGGAGGACGGAAATACATGGAAGTAGCCCAAGTGATAGGCCAATTGTAGCGTCCAGGTTGGTAATTTAACAGAATTCACCCGCCTGCAAAACTGTCAGTGGTTTCTTCTTTTGAAAACTATTTATAATTTGAAAATGTATGAATCGTTACATCAGCCAGACGGTGGGGCTCCAAAAATATGGAAATACAAAGTGTCAGTTTCTCTTCAATGAAATATCCAAATATGCCTTCCCGGTTTTCCGTTTCTCCGTTCCCTTCCTCCACCGCCCTGTTATATTTTACTTCAGCAAATTCTCGGCAAGCTGGATTTGTACTTTTACTTCGTGACATCTACAAAACTTAGCGAAAAGAAAAAAAAAAACATCACGGCGGCAAAAAGCTTACACGATAGTGTCCTTCGCTAACTTTCTGTATCATGTACCGATTACGACAGTTGCATTGTTCTGTCTGCCTCATCACTTCTTCAGTGATTTTCTCATTGTCGGTTTTTTCCTTCATCGGCAACTTCTGGAAAAAAAATGTCTCTATCACCGCGAATTAACAAAGCATGTCGGTAAGTCCGACCAAAAATGAAGATACTGCGAAATACACGTATTGCTGTTCACCTTTGAATAATCAGAGCGAAGTTTAGCCATGAATTCTTTGGCATCAATCATTCCATCGCCTTTATCGAATTCATCTGCCACCTTTTCCATTTCCAGTCGAGTAGTGGGGAATTCTAAATTTGGAGGCTACATATCAGATTGCAAGTTGGTGAGCCTACACAGGATTAAAGAGCTCTATTCTCATGCTAAAGATCTAGGATTCGACACAATCCAAGGGAATAATTAACTCCTAAGTTCGCTCATTCGTTTCAGTGGCACAAGAAGTTGAAATCACTTCTCCCTGTTTACAAGTAACCTTCAAAAAAGGGCGACATCGACAGCCTTGTCAGTTAATGATTGCTTTTGGCACTTGCTATCGCTTACACTACTTTTCAATGTTTCTGTATCACATACATAATGGAAATGGAGAAGATTCTGGCTTTCACATGTTTGTAAAGTTAAAACCTGTCAAGCAAAGCAGTTCTAAACCTCTAAAAAAAGCTAATCAGCTACACTGTGATATGTGAAATTTCGTAAAAAGTTAACAAATTTGATAACACTGCTCACTGGATGCTATGATGCCATCAATGAATGCAATACGCGACACACGTCCTGTTCCACTTTTATCTATTCGTCTGAAGAGATCCGAAATTCGAGACTTTCCTGAATCTGTCCACAGCAAATAACGTTCACGCCATTTCTCGAATGAAAACGACTCCAATCGTTTGACCTGTAAATTGAAATTGAAACTGGAGCAGGAACAAAAAAAATCATTGGCGAGGTGCACCAAGCGGGCAAGTGCGACCATGCTTTTTCGAAATATTTTGTGCTGTAGCAAGATCGAAAAGAACTCCAGCAGCTGGAATTTGTATCATAATAGCGCTCAAAATTCAGGAAGTTAACTGCGTAACTATGTGATGTGTCAGTTCTACGTGTAGGCTTCAGTGACCCAAAAAACGGAAAGTTGTTGCTGCGCGAAAAAGGTTCTACGAGAGCTGAATTTGAAATCCTTTAGTCGTACATAAATAGGGGACTCTTGAAATTTCAGCTTTGTTCGTTCCCGAGTTAGCAGTTTTCCCCCCAAAGATTTCTTATGGACTGTACGTAAGACCCGGACGGTTCTAAGGAGCTGAATTTAAAACCTTTCAGTCATATATGAGTAAAGAACTTTGCCTTACAGCTCCAGTTTTTTAGCTTTTCTTCTTCCCGAATTAGCAGTTTTCCCGTCAAAACTTTCACGTGTCCGCATGTGAGAAACAGACAATTGACACTACGTTCTCATTCTTACCTCTTCAAGATATTCTTTCATTTCGCGCAAACGGCGGCCATAGTCCATTGAATCAATCCAAAGTTTCTTCCATCTATCCGAGAGCTGATCCGATTTGAAGTGGCGCACAGGTTGCTCGTGTCTGTAACATTTTCCAAAAATGTCTATGAATGAAACTGGTAAATTATATCGATGAAAAGTAAAACACTTAATACTCACTTTTGGAGCGCTTTGCGGCCCTTCTTTTTTACTTGTTGTTCAACGACCAGTTTTCGACGGCCCTTTGTCGCCTCATCTACCTGACTTTGCTTCTGTCTTACTGCTTCTTCGAATTGCTCGTGTTCTTCGATAAGTCTGAAAAAGAATAACAGTACAAGTTTCACGTAATTTTAAAAAAGCACCTCAAATAATATATAATATTTGTTATATTCCAATTATGCCAAGACAACGGGTGAGGGGATCTTATGTCAGTGATGTTTCTGCGATGCACTCACACTTCGAGTACAACCGTGCTAGGCCTTCTGATCTTAAATTATTTGCCTTCAGTGGGTGCCTTCCGTTATTTGACGTGTAAATGCATCTTGAAATTTAAATTCTACAAAATTCTTTAAAAAAATTCCGAAAACCTGTCAAGTGACTCCATGACATGCGGTAACGGCGTTTCATTGCACACCTTCAGTTCATTACTCTTCTCTGCTATGTATTTCAGCAAATCAGCAACCATTTTCTCGCGCAGACGAAGCTCATTCAATTGCTGAAACAGTATCGAGAAATTATTAAATTTCTATTCAATTTTCCAGTATACACACGGTAGCGACAGTCCTCCTAGACCAACGAACATAAAAATTCAGCATACATGTAATGGAGTCATGTTGTACGTGTTTCAGCGCCCCGCTTTTGTGTGTAGGTTGCAGCCAGTATAGCATATGGATGTGGGGATTACCTGTACAAGAATGGATATGTATGAGGAGCAACACGTCATCTAACAAGAACCGAACGAAATCAGATCTACTCCTGCTTTCTCTCCTACACTACTCCTTCTTTCTGAATTCCACCACACTTTCGCCACCTGCGCTTCCAAGGTCAACCTATGTTGCAATTTGCTTGTGTACATGATACACTGGGAAAACTACCACCCCCTCCTCCTCCCCCTTAATCACTATCTGCAGGATGTAGGCCACCAGGAAGTAGCTCGAATTAGTAGCACATGTCATCAGCAACCACTCGTTAGTAAAGCTGTGAACAATTCTTTCTTTCAAAGGACCATCATCACTATCAAAAATAATGAATCGTAGAGGAATTGGCTACCTCACTTCTTGTTTATGGCATATTTCACGAGCCGTACAAAAGACTAAAAAAGTTAGTCTAATAACAAGCCTCTTACCCAGAATAGTTGATCCATGCTTGAATACTGGCAACATGATAACGGAGAAGCATGAAGATCTCAACAGCAGCCGTTTAACAGCTTTCAACTTCAAGCTGGCCTTTAAATTAATGAAAATGGCCCTCTTCCCTCTTGATTGATAATGGGGGTTCACCCAGCTAAGTAAAATTCTAACCTTTTCCAGATCATCCCTTTTGCCATCTACTGCATTCGATACTTCGTCCCATCGCGTCTGCACAACTTTCAGCCAGTACTTCATTGGCTGCTCGGCAAGTGAATGACACTTCGATTGAATATCTTCTCCAGCCTTTTTAATATCCTTCATGAGCGGTTCCTTATCATCCAGCTCCTTTCGCAGCTGCGCTAATTCGTCCATCTGTTCCAGTATTTCATTCTCGCCTTCCACCGCCTGACTCTAAATATTAAACATAAGACGATGAAGCTTTTTTATAACAGATGCGGATCAAATCAGAGTAAAATGGCGGAGGAAATGATTAAAAGGAATGCAAGGAAATATGTCATTTCCAAACACTGGCGGATCCAGTGAGCGAGGGGTCGTTCGCCCCTCCCCACGGGTCTAGGTAGCAGTTATTTTACTGTAGAAAAACCAACTTGAAACACCATGCCGCTCCCCTCCCCCTCCCCCCAAAGGAGCCTTCGACAGAGAGTGTAATAAAGCAACCGAGGGAAGGAGAGGGAGGGAGTACAGTGACGAAGGAAGCTGAAGTGAAGATCCCCCTTCCCCC